TTTTTTTTTTTTTTTTTTTTTTTTTTTTGGTACCAGGTATCAAACTTGGGACCTGTGCTTGCGAGGCAGGTGCTGGGACCACTGAGCTAAATCCCCAACCCTTAACATATAGTCTTATTTCTAATTTATATATAGTGTCTGTCAGTGCACCCAAGAAGTTTTGTTCACAGGCAACAGTGGCCCAGCACCTTCCTCATCTTTATAGCATATACCTTGTTAATTCATCAGCAGATATTTATTGCCACTATGTGTATAATTTGTTTTAAAGGCTGGGCTATTACAAGGAATAACACAAGCAAAAATTAAGTTCATAGCCTATGTATTATTATGTTGTCACTATCCATCTTTTACTTCATCAGAAGATGAGTTCATGGAGGATTTGATCTTATATCTTTATAGTGCAAGCATTGCCTAGAAATAATTTGAATGATACACATTTTGTTTAAAAAATACAAAAAGTCCAAAGAATAGTTTTCATAATAAAATGAATTCTCTCTTATGTGTTATACTACACTTGAAGTTTTCTAGCATTATAAAAAATACTAACATATCTGTTTATAAACAGGTTAAAATTTCAAGAAAAAAGACAGTAGTTATATTAATTCTGCTTAAATTGACAATGTCAGTTTTTATATTTTATCACCTGCTGTAATTGATTGGCCAAGTAGTTTTTATGTGATTATCCTTGAAGCAGAAATTTAGATTAAGGAAAGATATTACCTATGACACTAGGAAACCTAACTATCCAGGTTGATATGGCAAGGAGCAGGGTTGATCAAGGAGTCTAAACTCTGCATTCTACAGGCACCAGAGTTTTGATCCAGTTGTTCAGTTACTAGAAGCTGGGCAACTTCTTTGAAGTCTCTGTCCCATCTGGCCTTGATAATGGCCTCTGTGGTGAGAGCTGTGTGCTGCTGACAGGATGACCGGAAGCGCTTTTCCTTTCTTTCAGTTGGTGAGTTTGTAAGCGACGCCCTCCTCGTTCCTGACAAGTGCAAATTCTTACACCAGGAGCGGATGGATGTTTGTGAGACCCACCTGCACTGGCACACCGTTGCCAAAGAGGTACCATCCTTAAGTTCTTTTTTGCAAAGTGTAATTTCATGGGTGCATCCCCAACTACATTTTAGAGAGTACATTGAGGCAACAGCTTGTTGATGAGTAAGTAATGCATGCTATTAAAAAACTATCCGGAAGTTTTTTTTTCTTTTCAATACACAGCGCTTTATGGAGCATTTTTAAGTTCACAGTGGAGTGGAGCAGAAAGCATAGGGCTCCATTTAACCCTATCCTCGCACTTGCAGTTTTCCTTAGATGTTTATAAGGAGTCAGAAGTCAGGCTCTAATGTAGTTGGATTCATTATGTGTTTGTGCCATATTTTATCAATAAACTTAATTTTAATACCTGTCACCTCAAAATTTTATCTTTTTCAATTTATTTTCTACTTGCTTCTCTATATATAGTTTTCCTAATTTAACCTTTTCTCATGGTCCTTAAAACAAAGGAATCGATTGTCAGACCCCGGCATGAAAGCTACAGTGAGACTCCAGTTTCTGTGTTGTCCAGTTTTGTACTCACCAGGCCCTGATGCCCCCTATATTTGTTTATACTGGCAGGGAGCTGGGTTGTGTAAGGAGGGAGTGAATCTGCAGCACTAAACCTTGCCAACCTCTGCTTTTGGCTAAGCCAACAAAACGGAAGACACCATGAAATGTCACTTGGTGGTATTGCCTCCTTTGAAACTCTTCCGTCCCTTTGGTATATAATGCCTTTTCTGCCTAAGATGCACATTTCATTTATGTGAGAAGGTGACATCCGTCTTCTAGAGCTGGGATCCTTTGTTTAGCTTAGTGGTTTTCTGCTCAAGTCAGCTCTGCTCCTCTGTGCCAGTAAAATGGGACATTTTTATTGTCATTCCTTGAGGAACTACTTCAGCTTATCCCCAATACCATGGCCTAAAAGCTCTTAGGCAGAAAACACTTAAATTTTATCATTACATTTTGATTTTTTATAAAATAATATGCTCTGAGAGGCATGGTGGCGCACATGCCTGTAATCCCAGCTTCTCAGGAGGCTGAGACTCGAAGTAGGATTTCAAGTCTGAGGCTAGCCTGACTCACTATAAAATAAAATTTTCCTCATATAAAAATATGTTTTGGAGGTTGAAGAGCTTGCTCAAGAAAGCAAACAATGCAATTTAAAGCCCGGCTCTCCATCTAAGCTTCAGTTTTCAAAAGAAAATTTTTTTGTTATTAAGAAGAAAAAAAAAAATGACTGCGATTCCTAGGAGGTCAAAATACATTCTGTAATATTTTCACTGAGGTGTGTTGAATGCTTAACCTTTACCCTTCCTTTGTCACCTGTAGATGCTTTCTATTCATCTAGATTTGTGCAAGTTTAGTAGAATTCAAGAAACTAAAAAGATATTGAAAGGGAAATCTGTAATAACTGTAAATTCTGATTCACAGTGACTGCAGAGGATGTCTTAGTCACTTCCCTCATGTCTGAGACAATGCCCGAGATCCGCACTTGAGGGAAGAGAAGTTTATCTTGGCTCATGCTTTCCGTTCTTGGTTGAATGGCTCCAAGTCAGTAGCGGCTGGTACAAGGGCTGGGTTGAGTGAGAAAGGTGCTTGCATCATGGAGCAGGAAGCAGAGAGAGAGGGGAGGAGCCCGGGAGGGAGATACACAAGTACAGGTCGTGCCTCTTCCAAACACCCCCTAACAGCACATTCAGCTTCATCCACTGATGAGTACAGCACCTCTAGGACCCAGTCACCTTCCACACGCCTAACCTCTGAACACATGAGTCTTTGGGAAGACATTCCAGATCCAAAGCATAAGAGAGGATAGTTTCTTTTTTTGTTGTTTTGTGTTTTTGAGACAGGGTCTCACTATATTGAGACTGCCCTGGAGCTCACTAAGTAGGCCAGGCTGGTCTTGAACTCACACCTATCCTCCTGCCTCAGCCTCCCAAGTGCTAGGATTACAGGCTGGGATTACAGGCGTGTGCCACCACGTCTGGCTGTGAGAGGGTAATTTCTTCTCCCTCTGGGCCTGTTTGTTACTCTGGGAGGTGAACCAAGAATGTTAGAATGTCCAGACTAAGGCAAATCCAAATGAGGGTAATACAGATCTGTAAGGGTGTTGGGACTGAGGCGGGGATATACAAGGAATCTTCAGATTTGCTGATGTCTGCTCATAAGTGCAGCCTTACAGTTATGACAATCAAAAATATTCCAGTCAGCTTCCACTCCAGTTGTTTTTGCAAATCTCCATTGCATCACAACATGTTTTTACTAAATAATAAACTTACAAAATGTACCAAGGTAGTGTGCTGGAGACCCCGCTGTAAGTACATTCGAAAAGCAAATGATTTCTTTTGGGAAACTGTTCTAGGGCTGTGTTGAGTGTTCTCTAAGCGCATCTCCTCTGCCCGTCTTCACCGTTTTCTCCCCACCTTTTGTAGACCTGCAGTGAAAAGAGCACCAACTTGCATGACTATGGCATGTTGCTGCCCTGTGGAATCGACAAGTTCCGAGGGGTGGAGTTTGTGTGCTGCCCGCTGGCTGAAGAAAGTGACAATATGGACTCTGCTGATGCAGAAGAGGATGACTCTGATGTCTGGTGGGGCGGAGCGGACACAGACTATGCAGATGGGAGGTAAGGTGGTCTTCCTGTTGAGTCTCATAGATGCTAACACATCTCGCACGCACCTTTTACAGATGTGATTTAATTTTATTGTAACTGGCCATCACAGGGCTAATTTTAGCTATTTTATTTTAATTTTAAGTATTCTAATCAAAATCCCCGTTTGTATAGTAGGTTGTGCTGTAAGTTCTAACAGAATCTAAAGTGAGTCATGCAGTATTCTGTTTTGCTGTAAAATCTGGAAGTACTTTTAAAACATTATTTTGAGATTATTTTGTCAACTATTAAATCCGTGAGCATAATTGTTGAGAAAGATTTGGTTTTGGGTTTTTGTGGGGATTTCCTTGCCTTTCCTTTCCCCCCTCCTAAATGAAGTCAAAGGCATTTACATATGCATTCTGAAGTTTTTCTGTTGTTGTTGTTGTTGTTGAACTATCCTCAGTTTTGTGGTTGCTCGGAATGTGTTTTCACCTTTTTTTCTTGACTCCTGTTTTTGATCAAAGAGAAACATTTATATTCAAATAACATAAAACCAGACGTCTTTTTATGTTAGAATCTCATCTGACTCAGTCATGAGTTTCATGCTGTCTCATCTAAAATGTGAGGATTATACCACTGTTGTTTTTTCTACTAGCATCCTCTTAGATGTTCCTCAGTGTTGCACATCTCCAAACAAACATTAAATATGAATTGGAAGATTTAGGATTACAGTGAAAGTTTTCTAACTTTAGGCTCAGGTTTTCTCCATGAGAATGTTCTTTAAAATTTAGAAATAATTTTACCATGATGCAAGAATCTGCACATTTAGGAATGCTAGCGCCTTTTCTTACCAGTTAATATAAAAACGCTTGTTTTTATTGGCTGTTGCCTAATTGTATCAGGACTTGCCTTTTATTAGGCTCTTCTTTTGTGTCCTTTGTCATGTTAAAAATTTTCTTTTTTCAGTGAACTTAATCTAAAGATAAGCAAACATACAAAAATTTCAAAGAATGAGAAGAACAAGCACACAGAAAACTGATCTTGTACATATTTCTCGGTGCTTGTTAAAGTTGAAAGTTACCTTCTGGTGCAGTAAAGATTAGGTATGCAGGCTTTGTTGAGGAGACATCTTCTAAGCTTTTTGCTGTGGAATTTGTTCTTTTGTGCCATGGCTGGTTCTTCACACCTCTGGTCCATGTGTCAGATATAGAATGTGGATTTGGGTTCAATTTGAACATTTCAGTGACTTTGAAAAAAAGTTCCCTGCGCCAGGACTCTGACAGCATGTTGCCAGTGTATCTGCTAGTAAAATGGGAAATTTCAGGTTACACACCCATTTTCTTTGCTCTCAGACTATTGGGTACTTGACTTGATAATTTTCCATTACTGATTCAAATATACTGTATAAATAAATATACAAAATGGTGACAAACCCGGAAAGTTTCCCATTAAAATTCTACAGTGCTAGATACGTACATATAACCTTGTATCAATTATTGGTGACCTGCTGTTTGTGATCATTCTTTTTTTTTCCTTTTTATTGAGTTTATTGGTACAATCTAGGTATACAATACAATTACATTCATCATTGGGATTCTTTACCTTTACATAATAGGTCTTGATTCTCATTTTTTCCCCCTTGTCCCTGCCCTCCCTTCACCCCCCTCCCCTCCCCATTTACAAATACTTTATTTCCATTTTTTCAGTTTCTCCTATTTTTTTCCTCTCCCTTATTACCTTTCCCCCACCCTTCCCACTTTCCCTACACCTTTAGCCCTTTACTTCCTATTTCACATTATTAATTATCTCATTAGGATCCTGTGTACTATTATAGTTTTTCACACCAAAGAAACTATTCAGTATTTCAGTTAAAGAAATCCCTGTATGAACATTAAAAATAGGGAATCCTAAAATAAAACTAAAAGGGAAAGTAAAAGAGAAAAGGCAATGATGTAACATTAAAATAATCCTTAATTCTGGAGATGAAAATGGTCGCTGAACATATTTAAATTGCTTCTTGCTCTTATAGTCTTATCTTATTCTTTTTTTCATTATTTAAAGAATACTTTATTAGTTTCTGTAATCAAACCCACATAGATATGACCTTACATATTTAGTACGATGTGTTACCCCTGTTACACATGGGAAAAAAAATAAAAAATAAAAAAAAAATAAATTAACATTTCTAGACCAATATGGTTGTCCATTTCTGTACAATGCCAAGTCAACACAGTAAATTGGGATGACTTTTTTCAAAGTTGGCAGCACCGTTAAAATTTCCCAAAATTCAATTTATATATATATGTATATGTATATTTATATAAAAAGACTAATAATACTATGTTATGCATCGATAGCAGCATCAGCTTTTCCAGGTTCTGCAGTCATCTGAACAAAATTGTAGACGTTCAGCACATTTCATTAAAAAAAAACAAAACAACAACAAAGAAAAGAATAATATCCAGAAAACAGCAAAGTTCTGTTGCTGTTGTTGTACCTGGCACCATTTTTTCTATTAGCCTCTTAATCATCATCTGCAAAGAGAACATTCTAGAGTAATATTATTACATGTAGCTCTGATAAAGCACAGTCCCTCCTATGTATCATAAAGCAGGTACTAGATATTTTACATTCATAGAGGTATGATACAGTACCATCCTACATCAATAATACTAGATTCAGCTTTGGTTTGAAATTTACTTTGTCTGCAAATAAGATTGCTACCCCTGTTCTTTTCTGGGCTCCTGTCACATGGAGAATTGTTTTCTATCTTTTCACTTTCAGTCTTTGGGCTTCTTTTTGCACTAGATGTGTTTCTTGTATAGAACATATTGTTGGATTTTGCTTCTTATTCCATTTTGCCAGTCTGTTTCTCTTGATTGGTGAGTTGAGGCCATTGACATTGCTGGTTATAACTGATATGTACTGACTTATTATTGACATGTTATTGGCCTTTTGTTGACTCTTTTTACTTTTTCACCTTCTCCTTTTAATTTCTTGCCTTGCCTATTTGATTTGCTCTGTTGGGCCTCATGGTGTTGTTGCCTTCATTGTCTTTTTCTCGGATCTTGTTTAGAATTGCTTGTAGTGCTGGTTTGGTATTCATGTAGTTTCTCAGGTGTTCTTTGTCGTGGAGGTGTCTTATTTCCCCCTTTCATTTTGAAAGAGAATTTTGCTGGATACATCAGTCTAGATTGGAGGTTGTTCTCTGTTAGTACTTGAAATATCTCATTCCAGTCTCTCCTTGCCCCAAGGGTTTGTGTTGAAAAGTCTGCTGTGATTCTGATGGGCTTTCCTTTGTATGTGATTTGTTTCTTTTCTCTTGCTTCTTGTAGTATTTTGTTGTTCTGCTGGGTTTCTGGGATCTTGATTATTATATATCTAGGTGTAGATTTTTTTTGATTGTAGCTAGTTGGGGTCCTATATGCCTCAGTTATCTGAATGTCAAATTCTTCCCCTCTGTTTGGGAAGTTTTCTGTCGTTAATTCTGCGAACAGCTTTTTAAAGTCATTTGTATTTTCTCCTGTTACTTCATGGATTCCTATCAGTCTTATGTTATTCTTCTTTGCATCATCTAGGAGTTGTTGGATCAATTTCTCATGATCTCTTACTGTTTTTAAGAGACCTCTCTTTTCTTGGTCACTGACTGCAATCTTATCTTCTATATCTGAGAGTCTATCTTCGCATTCTTTTATTCTGTTGCGTACACTTTCAATAGAGTGTTTAATCTCCTGGATATCTGTTTGAATCTTTTTTATGGGTTCCATTTCTTTCCTATGTTGGGCATTTATTTTTTCCATTTTTTTCTTATGCTGGGCCTTCATGGCTTCTATCATGGTCCTGAGCTCATCTATTTTTTTGTCAGTTTCTGCTCTAGAGTCTCGAGTCACGACTTCCATTTTGCTCACTATCTCTATGGTTATCTGCGAAATTATTTCTGTTTTGAATTTTTCTAGAGCCTGATTGATCTGTTTTGTTACTTCCTGTGCTTTGAGTTCAGGGTGTCCTGGTGGTTCACTATCGGCCTTTTCATCCTCATTTTCCCTACTGTTTGCCATTGGTAAACTGGAAGTGTGTCCTTGTGTCTTGCTTAAGTGTTTTCTCATTTTAATTTTTGTTGTTGGACTGTCCTTGGTTTAATCTCTGGAGTATCACCCAAATCTTCCTGATATAGTTGCGCCCTAGCTTCTCTGTCTCTAACGACCCACAGACATTCTCATCTTCATAAGATCAGAGAAAACAGCTCATCAAATCAAAGGCAGTGCTTTACCCCAACTGATACAATCAGCAACATATTAAGATCAAGCACAACTTTGACACTGACCACCGGTGGTAATCACTAGTCTGTCATCTTTAAATTATTTGAGTTAAATTGAAATCAAGAAGCAGTCCAGGACATGTCTGCAGTGAACAAAATTTCAATATAGTGTATTTACCATTTAATGGCTCAGACAGAGTGAGGATGCAAGACCCCCGATCTCAGTTAGCTGATTGCTGAACCCCATGACACTGACTGACCTGGGGCTGCAAGGCCCAGATTGAGTTCCCCAACTTTCTGAATGATTGAACTCCACAACGTTCTATTACAGGTTTCCCACGCCCTTTCTTTAAAGATGTTCAAAGTTGGGAACTCAGAAAAATACCCTTGATGACCACCTCTGTCTTTGCAGAGTGGGTCCAAAGACTGGCACAGTCAGGAGGTCTGAGAGTGCGGGGGGGCAGGGGGAGTTATGAGGGTTCAGGGGCGCCCGTGTGGCTACCTTCCCAGTGCTTGAGCGATGGTGGCTGGGTTGGGAGCAGGCGTGGCTCTCCTTCCCGCGGTGGATCGGGGCCCAGCCTACCTCCCTGCGCTTGAGCGATGGCAGCTGGGTCGGGAGCAGGCGTGGCTCTCCTTCTGTGATCATTCTTATATGAGTGACTTTGAAAATTCAAAATGGATATTTTCACTTCATCCTGAGAGTGACAGGCTTTTGCCAGGCCTTGTTCTCCATGTAGCAAACTTTGTATGTCTTTTAAAACCTCCTTTTTTTTTT